GTCTGAAAAATTTCGTTAGCATGAAACTGCATGAAACTATTGCAAAAATCGTCTATAAAATTTTCTTGTTTTTTGTACATTTCACTCTCGTCAATGTATTTCATCACTAGTTTGAGCTAGAGAGCTGAAACTTTCGGGAATAACAGATCTTGATTAGATATATATGTGATAAAAATTTCAGCTCTATACGCCGAGAAAAGTATGAAAAACATCAAAAACAAATTATCCTCAGTTATTATGGGACACCCTTTATATTATGTCCAGTACTAAAAGTTATCGAAAAAAGAAAAAAAGTTTCATATGTTGATACACATAAGAATCTTCATAAAAAAAAAGCCTCATCTTAATATATCATTGCACGCTGCTCAGAAATATGATAAACATGACTGGAATTTAAAATGAAAAAAGACTAAACAATGTCTTCAGTTTGAAGATATGAAAATATTATTTTAATATCGCTTCTCTATATTTTTTATTCAAGTTCAAATGGATGTATAGTAGACCATCTGAATTTTTTTCCATTTGTATGCATATTTAGACTCTAATGCCTATTGGAATCAATCGGCAGCATGTCGACAAATACTACAGTGTGTGAATAAGAAGAACCTGTTGATGATAGATCAAATAGGTGTAAAAGGCAGTAATCGTTTTACTTATAATTTAGCACCACCAAATAAAGATGCATTAGTACCAAGTGTTAGACCAGTAACCTATATCAAACGTTATGATGTTATGGCTGCATTACTTGGTGATCAAGTATTACCAATTGATATTCTTACACCAGAGACGAAAGCACAATTAGGTATACGTGGATATACAAAACAATTAGTATTATCGTATCTGCAGCATAAGTTAGTAAAAGAATTGATAAAGGACGGGGAGGGGGGGGGGGCTATAAGCATTGGAAGATGGGCCACTAGCTGTTCATAGGCAAGTCATTAGTAACTCTGTGCAGAAAAGTGAGGCGAGTTTTCATATACAGAATCCAAGGGAAATTTTCGATATTAAAGGTTGTTTGGAATTGAAAATACTGTAAAACATCATAAAAGTCTTCTAGGACCTGTAGAGGGTTCTTAGCGTATTGGTAGGGATCGGATATTTGGCCAGAACATAAAACTTTTTGGAAATATGGTAAGCCCAATTAGTCTTCAATAGAAAGAACATGTAATTCTTTATCATTCCATATAAGAGCTATTATTTTTTCACAAACTTTCCCTTGGATTCGGTATACGAAAACTCGCCTCACCTTCCTGCGCCGAGTTACTAATGAATTGCCTATGAACAGCTGGTGGCCCATTTTACAATGCTTATACGCCCCCGTCCTTTGCATCATGATGGCATAGTAGTAGATATAGGTTTGGGCTTAAAAGAAGATGAAGTTAAACAAGCATTTATTAATGGTGGTTATACTGGTACTAAGTGTGTTGTTATCTTTCCTACTGTTACTACATAGTAAATATGTTAATCCACTTGATAATATATTTTGGCACGCGATGAAAGTCGGATTTGCTAAACGTGCACCTACATTGTTGTGCATTATATTCTGGAGACAATATGTACAAAGGTCGATATTAAATAAACATCATCAATGTTAAGAATTATCAAGATACATACATGCAAAGTTCATGTAAATTTTTGTAAGTATAAAAAGATTTTTCTTTGTATTGATTATTTGTTTTCTTTTTCTAACTTCGTGATCTATTGATTAAATTTATACTGCATACTGCAGCATAATATACTCTATCTATACGTGTACATAATAATCATTTGATTTATTCACAAGAGAAAAGAAAAAGAAAAATCAATAGGTATCATTTTAACTTTCGTGGATTGTAATTGATAATAGCACGTAGAATGAACTTCAGTGTCCAGTTATGACCAGCTCAGTTGTCGACCATAAGCTGCGAAATAGCCAGCTTTAAGTTTTGCTGCCACATTTACCGAAACCACAATTTTGAGTTTGCCTTTTGAGTGGCTCGTCTTCTGTTGACATATCGAACACACATGAATCTTTGGCATTTTGATAGTTTGAAACTGAATTCTTACATGAAAGATCGGCCTAGAAATAAAATCTCTCAGTTCAGAATTCAATGTTTTTATCTACATCCCAGTGAAGCATAGGTCATCTTTTATTTTATTTCAGAATGAAAATGATTGAAAAGACTCCTAGGAACTCAAATTAAATTTTTTGATTACGAATATATTTGTTTCGTTCGATTACACTAACGATTTCGATGTATTACTACAGTTTGACTGCTATATAGATAGTGCTATTTTTCTAAATACGTAAATAGGAATCATACAATGTCATTGATTGAGTCAAGTATATTACAATTTAGGAAAAATTACTCTAATGTTGTGCGAAACGTCCATTGTATAACTTCAAAACTCCTAAATGTTGTAAGTCACCGCCATCGTTTCATCAATCTATTAATCAACCAGTGTAAATGTAGATCGATTGCTTTAACAAATAATTTTCGTTTTCTCTCTATAATAATTCAACGTCGATTGATTATATTTATTTGTTTTCTCATAGTAATTTTGGAAATATAACATTTAGACCAACTAAATAAAATGCAAGCTAAAAAAGTATTACTAAGAAACTTCATGCAACGATTTCTAACATCATATGACAGCGACATCTTTCATGATTATCGCAAAGAATCTCGCTAATATTTGCTAAAAAATAAAGTAGCTCATACTGATTTTGGTTGCATTTAAATCTTCATATCTGTGCGATTACTCTACATATGTTTGTGGATTCAAACTTAAGAATCGTAAGCCAATGAACAAACTAGTTGGCCATCCAAAGTTTTACTATTTACCATATGTCATTTTCTATAGTGTTTGTGTTCTGTTTAATCCGACCTAGATATGTAAAATATAATGTTTGCGTAAGATTAGAGAACGCAAGAGAGTTTAACATTTTTTTTTCTTTTCTACTGCTATCACATCACTTTCGTGAAGCGTGATATGACGGTCGTTCGTACGCTATTTCTTTGGCTGCTAATATTCGTTACTCACTCGTTTGAATTCAATGCATTGATCATTACACCCGGTATAGCTGGTCATGTTATTCCTTTGTTTGAATTGGCAAAAGCATTGAAAAATCATAATGTTACATTTATTACCGAACCATATGCACAGTCTTACGTTAATTTTCAATCACATCCAAATTTGTCCTCATTTCGTCTCATTTTTACGAATGATTCGGCAGATGCATTGATTGATCAAAAGAATAACGAAAAAGAAAGAGTTGAATATTTTACAAGTCATTCAATATTTGATAGTATGTTTGATCTTTCGACAGCAACAGGTCAAATTATGAATAGACTAATGAATAAAACAGTACATATATTAATGTTAGAACGATATGATGTGATCATTGGTAGTTCGTTTATTATAGCTATCAACGCTCTGTGCAATGAAGCAATGGCGGCATGTGTGATGCAAAATGCAGAACTATTTCCGAATATGTTTGATATGAATCTACCGATTGGCTACTCGTTATTATCATCACAACAGATGACTGAGTTCAAATATCGTATTTACAATGTTGCCTTTACTTTACGCTTGCTAATTTCAATATTGAAAAAAAATATCATTGTATCATTCTATACAATTTTACAATCGTTTCCACGAATACCAGGACCATTTTATGAAACTTTTACGTTAAGAAATCTTCTATCAACAAAATCCAAATGTTTAGAATTGATCAGTTTACCGCCAACACTCTATCCACCATCGTATTCACATCACTATACCAAATATCTTGGCGCGTTTATAGATGAATCATCCATTGACTATGTTGAAACTGATCTTACAAGATGGACAAATCGAAACCGATGAATTCGATTGCCTATGTAGCTTTCGGTAGTACTTCGACAATTCGAATCGATCGAATGAAGAGTTTGATCAATGGTCTAGCTGAATTTCTTCTACAAACTGATGATGCTTCTATGCTATTGGCATTTCGTAACGCCAATTATGATAACTATCATATTGCACTGAACGAGATCAAGAATGACAAATATCGACATGTTCTCATGGACGACCAACGGGTCAAACTTGAAAATGGATTTGTTTCACAAAAGTGGATTTTACAACAGAATTCAGTCAATCTATTCATCAGTCACTGTGGTATGGGTTCAATTGTAGAAGGACTTTATTTTCAGAAGCCGATACTATGTTTACCGTTATGTATGGATCAATTTACAAATGCAATTGCGATCGATTATTCAGGAGTTGGACAATCGTTATTCGTACCACCATCTCTATTACAGTCATTTATAAACCCAGCCGGTTTTCATGGTTACACATTTTCTACTGATAGTGTAACAATGTAACTATCAACAATGTGGAGAAATATGACGTACAAGAAAGCGGTTCGAATCATGTCACTTGAAATGAAGCATGCTGGTGGAGTGAGACGAGCCGTTGAAGAAATTGAATTCTTCATAAATCTAAATGGTGATTTAGATCGATATACACCATTTCAAAGTACATTACCATTCTATCAGCGATATATGCTTGATTTAGTCATTGTTTATATTATTTTGCCTGTCACAATTGTAATTTATTTATTCGATAAATGTTGCAAACGCAATCGCAAGAAAAAAGTAGATTAATGTTAAATAAAAAGATTGGAACCAAACTCATGCACATTTATATTTGCTAAATGAAAAATAGTAATTCGAATTTTTGTTCATGAGAGGCGAATGTCTTTTGTTTGATCCTTTTGTTCATATCCACAGACTGATCGAGTTAAGAGTTGTGGGTGTGGGTGAGTATGGGCGTGGACGGCTGCAAAGAATGTTCACACACACACCCACACCCTAGTGATCCATTACAGTTATATTATGAGAATAGAGAATAAGAAATGTAGTCGAATGTTATAAAACAATCCAAGGACCGTCAAAGATCATCGAAACAAAAGTTCAGACAAGTGCATCACGCCATTTTTTTTAAAAGGTGTGCCTAACGAAGCCCATGCCATTGGGATCTAGTAGACACAAGTAAGCCTATCAATAATTGCCGAGCATCAGTTTTCAAACTATATCAGAAAAGCAATATAAGATCAATCTTCAACATCTCAGTTTTCACTATGAAAACGCAAGACCATGAATACTCTAGGCTCTCAAAGAATTGGCCGTTCAAAATCATATGGAAATATATATTGATTGAGCATATTTCGCAGATCTAAATCCATGTGACTTCTTTCTACTGTTAAACGTGAAATATCTTTCAGCAGTCATTAATGTCCTCTGAAAAAAAAATGATCTCAAACGCTACCTCAATAATCTACTTTACTCGAATGAATCAGTGTATCGTTGATGAAGGATGGAACTTTGAAAAACAACACTAGACACAGCCTTTGAATATTTCTCCGAAGGACTGACAGAAAACTCTTGTAGCATCCTTGGTATGTCAACCAAAAAATAGTTCGTGTTTTTAGTCTGGTCCTGAGGAAATATCGAACGTTCTTGGTGAGTTTTCATTGTAGAACCCCACATTTATAGTAAGATCATATTTTCGAATTTCGATCTGAAATTTTGCCCAACTAAAAATTCCAACGAAACAAGCTTGTATAAAAAGTTTCAGAACTTTTGAACTGAGTCTTTCAGAGTTATGAAACTTTTAAATAGTACATGTTGTTGTATAAATTATTTATGGAAAAAGGCTTCTACCTTGAAAATTCCATATCTTCAAAGTACTCACGAGGGAACTACTCCAACTGATTCCGAGCTGTTGGATTCATTTTTTGGCCATAGGTAGGCCTCAGTGAGATTAAGAAAACTCCTGAGCTGTTCGTCCCCACAGCTCTCTGTTATCGAGATATCATCAAGACTATATCATTAAAAATAGGACTTTTTCAGTTTTTTCGAAATCAGTGTTTCTATGATATGCTTTTAGTTTAAGACCAATAGTGTGCCAAAAAATAGTCCAATCAAAGGTCTTGAAGCATCCAAAATATAAATCTTTAACCAAATTAGATCTTTTCATAACATATAAGGTATTATTAAAGCAAAATACTGAACAATGACTGGAGAACAATTAAAATGAAGAAAAACGTCAAAAGCGAAAAAGTTCTATTTTTCATGATTTAGTCTTGATGATATCTCGAGAACAGAGAACCATGGGGATGAAGGGTGTGGGTGTGGGTGTGGGTGGGTGTGGGTGT